TATATCTATCTTTCATTCCCTCAGGAGCTAATGTTATTCATAACTTCCTTTCCTTAATCTTGAAAACCAAGAGTGCCATTTTTCTACAAGACTAATTCTCTACCTCTGGCATTCTCTTTCGACCCAATGGATCTTTCCCGACAAACGCTCAACTATTCCCCCCATTACCTTCATGTAGGTAAAGGTTCGGAGTTGATCAAACTCGAACTCCATCTCGACAAAGCCGTCGGGGAAAGAGCTGTTCCTCCAGCCCACGTAGTCGTATCCTGGCCAAACCCGCAGCTCTTTGGTCTGGGTGAAATCGTCCAGGCCTACCACCCCATCGGTCAGCTGGCCAAGGCCCCCAAAGTGCAACCTGGGGTTAGAAAGAAAGCAGAGTTACGAAACCATGAACAAGGTGGGTCCAGGGAGAACCACTGGGTTTTCCCATCTGGCTCAAACCAAGGCACCTGTCAGAGGTAATACGGACTATTTCCATAGAGCGCATCTATCAAGGGGCTGAACCTCAGAAGATGCTACCTTTGCCACTGGAAAGTCACAAAAACATTCCCTGCAGCAACATGGTTTCTTCAAAGCTACAGGCCTGAGGAAGGAGATTTAGCTCCCAGTAACTAAACACCCAGCAAGCTGATTAGCAAGATACAGAAGTGAGGAAAGCTGCTCCTAGTATGAACAAGCACATTTTACCTCTTAAAGGAACTCTGCTTTTAACCATGTGCTAACTGTACCATTCAGTTCAACCCTATAGGTTCATCCTGTGAAGCTGTCGGTCATCTAGGGGCTACACCGGTCTCACTCCAACCCAGCAGGAGCTGCAGTGAAAAAACCAAGGTTCTGCCCCTATTGCAATTTCTGACTCAGTCTGAGTCTGTCCCTCTAACCACTACACCTAGCCGCTGACGTAAAGGACAGGCCTGTGTTCAAATCCCCGTTCAGCCATGGAAACTCATTGGGAATGTGGAATTGGAAAACTCACTCCTTAAATATCTCTCTTAAGAGTTGCTACAAGTCAGTTCCAACTTAACAGCACGTAATAGTGGGGTGAATCTCTACGGTGCAGGAAGGTAAAAGAAAGCCATTCTACACCAGAGAGCTTTGCAGACCAACAGGGCAGATTTTACAATTTTGCAAGCGGATGTTTCAGACCAGAATTATCATACGGGAGAGTGATCCAGAATGCAACAACAGGGTTAGGTGCACATATTTACTCACTTGTGGATAGTGTGTCCATCGTACGTGGAGTCGTTCAAGGAGACAGGTTCTGGAGCCAGGGGCATGACATGGCCCAGTGGGGCTGTGTACGACTGAAGGCCATCTGCGAGAAGAGACAGGGGATGTTTTTATTTACCTCAGAAATCACTTTAACACCATTTTTAAAATTTTCCATGAATATCTATATGGTCCTCAGATGCATTATGGGAGACAGAGATGGTCCAGGAAGCCGGAATTTTGCTTCGAAGCATGCCAAGCTCCCGGGTATATTTAATTTTTAAAAATCATGAAATCTTGTGGGAACCAAAAGAGGTTTCTGAGGGTATGAGCCAAAGATTGGGAGTTCAACCCCCCCCCCCCGTGTCTCCTGGGGAGAGGCTGGACTTGATGATCCATGGGGACCCTCCCAGCTCAGTGGCAACTGTGGTGTTGTGGTTGTGGTCCACAGGTACTACGTTGGAACCTTCTGCTCATTACTTCATACTGGCTCTAACTTAAATTGTAGGGTAGAGTAAAAAATGGTGCAAAAAAGGGACTTACTCACCTTTCCAGACACAGCCATACAGCTCCACACGCAGGCAGATGCTCATGACACGGTCTGCTCGTGGGTAGAAGCGGACGTATCGAGCAATGACTGGTGGGCCCAGATCCTTCAGGACCACATCCTTTGTGTTTTCATTACCCGAAATCACCTAGGAGACAGAGTAGTGAAAAGGAATGGTTTTGATTTCCTTTCCTATGAACCTTAGCAGTAACTGGACATTCTCAGTCTGAACACTGAGTAAAGACAGGATACAGCAGTCTAAAAAAAGGAAATGGAGTTTTCTCTTATTACTGTGTCTGGAAAATGGTATATAACACAACAGTTTTGCCTGTCACACTAGCAAAACTCTTCATTTACTAACAGGTAAGACCAGTCCCTGCTGAGAGATAAGCCTGTTTATTTTTTTCAGTTATTTTTTTAAAAAAATAATTAAAGTAGTTCAGTTCTACTTTTGTGATTAGAAAAGGAACTAATTACAACTCATTACAGGTCTGTAACTATTTCCTTCTGATTGCAGCAGTAACCAGCTACTTTTAACAACTTTAAAGGCCGCTTCCTGAGCTGTGCTTCAGAGAGAGAAGGCTAACAAGAACGAAAAGGCCTCTTTACCGATCCTTCATGCAAAAAAAAATCCACATAGAAAATAACCATGTCAGCAAGACAGGGTGTACTAGCCTAGCTGGACTGCCCAGAAACAGTGATCCAGTAATATGCACAAGTTTTCATGGTCTCCAAGAGTCTCAAAGACCAATAGAATAAAAAAAGAGTATAAATGAAGACAGTCCTTCTGTTGGAACGTTTGCAACCTCGCATGCTGCATTTAGTAGGATTGGCTGGGAGGGCCCTTTCTGGGTTGGGATAACTGTCAATCTATCCAGCCATAAGTAACTAATTCCTCTCTGCCTCTGAATTCAAAGACAGCCCTGCTTCTCTGCTCAGTGCTTTCCCCCCTCTCTTTAGTCTTTTGAAAGCTATGAATCTGTTGTTGCAAGCAAAGTCTTCCCACACACACATACAATCACAAGTAAAGAAAATGGTTTTTTATTCTAGTATTAATTAGAGTAAGTTATTGAGACTGTAAGTGCCAGATAATGGGAAAAGCGGTGGACTAATCTGGGTTTTTTTCTGCTGTGAATCCCTGCACTTCTGATGCACCACTAAAGGAATTTAATCAAAAATTAAAAACACGGCAACACATTGTTCCACCTTTATCAAAGCATAGGTGACCTCCTTTCCCTTCCTCTGTCTTCTCAGAGTAAGGTATTGAGACTGTAAGTGCCAGATAATGGGAAAAGCAGAGGACTAATCTGGGGGTTCTTCTGCTGTGAATCCCTGCACTTCTGCTGCACCACTAAAGGAATTTAATCAAAAATTAAAAACACGGCAACACATTGTTCCACCTTTATCAAAGCATAGGTGACCTCCTTTCCCTTCCTCTGTCTTCTCAGAGAATCCCGAGGCCACCGGTGTTTAATTCTAGCATGTTTCTAGCCCTCATGAGATTGGAGGAAACCTCTTCAAATCTCAGCGGCTGTCTTCACTTGGGCCAAGTCCGGGCTCCTCTTGCTTACCTCGTTACCCCACCGGTCACGCCAAGGCATCCAGCGGTGCCCATCGCGGCTGTAATGGAGTCGGTAAGCACGGGCAAACTCCTTGCCATGGCCACTGGCATGCCGACCTTGCGTCCCCACCAAGGTTAAGAAGTGGAGACGACCGAGGTCAATCTCCAGGTACTCGGCATCGTTGGGATAAACGGGCCCTGCAGGACACCAGGCGCCATCCCCCTCATTTAACCCTAACCTGAAAAGCAAGGAAGGTGGATGAAAGACAACTATTTTATATACATTCACATAAATCATGTGTACAAGAGGATATTTCTTCCCTGTGACATTTGAGTTCCTTTTTGAATCTCTGGCACCCTGTTAATATTTAATCACTGATCATTAGGAGGGGGATGCTTTGGACAGGACCTTGTCATGCAACTGAGAACTCTGGTCGAAACAGTCTTGGTTGGCCTTGAAGACTATAAAGGAAAGAAAGTAATTTAGGCTACATGGGTGGAAACGGTCCATAGCGCAAGAATTTTCTAGGGTGATAGAAAACAAGAGATTACAGTGGCATTTTGTGGGTTATGTATCTCCTGGACATCTGCAAGCATACTATAAAACTGGAAAAATCAGTATTATTGGGTACAAAATAAGTTTTTGTTTTAAAATTTTTAAATAACCTTATTTATGGCAGAGCTGGAAGGGACTTTATCGATCATCAAGTTCAGCTAAACATCACGTTTCTAGCTCTTGTAGTAAGAGCAAACAAAGCCCTGTGAAATCTTAAAAGCGGGCATGTGTACAAATATCTACAAGATTGCTAATTGAAAGAGTGAGACTTCTACCTCTATATAACATTTTACTCATCTCCATGGTTAAAGAGAGCTGAAGAATATACATTAGGAGCCCCCCCATATCCAGGATATCAGTATCCACTGATTCACTTATTCATGGTCTGACCATATTAAAAATATTAGAAAGAAAAATCCTAGAAATACATATTTCTAGATTAAATTACCAGAACTGGCCACTAGAGGGACCAGTGACCATGATATGTATAATAAGGTACAGGTAAAGGTTCCACTTCACATTTAGTCCAGTCCTGTCCGACTCTAGGGGACAGTGGTCATCCCCATTTCCAAGCCATAGAGCCAGCGTTTGCACAAAGACAGTTTCCGTGGTCACATGGCCAGCACGACTAGACACAGAACGCCATTACCTTCCTACTGAGGTGGTACCTATTTATCTACTTGCATTTTTACATGCTTTTGAACTGCTAGGTTGGCAGGAGCTGGGACAAGCAATGGGGGCTCACTCCGTTGTGTGGATTCGATCTTACGACTGCCGGTCTTCTGACCTTGCAGCCCTGAGGCTTCTGCGGTTTAACCCGCAGCGCCACCACATCCTATGATATGTATAGTGCTTGCTATAATCTGCATTTTTCAGGATCCATGGCAGGGGGAAGGCTTCAAACCAATCCTCCACAGATCCTACTCTATTTAAACAAAAAACAATGAAACATATGTGATTATGCAAATTAACTTCATTTTCATAGTTCAGATGTTAATGGTGGTAGGTCTTTTTAATCTTTTAAAAAATTAATTTTAACACATGGATACAAGCCAGCCTATTCAGGTATTACGTTTAGGGTCCAAAAGTGATCCTCACCTGCTGTGTTTAGCAGCCGTTGACTCAGACCAGGAGCTGGAAGCCGAGAGAGCCTCGTCGGGGATGGTGCGATCTTGCATGCCCAATGCATAGCGGCACTTAGCTGTCAGGGCAAGAAAAACGATAGGACATAAACAGCTTTTTCTGCCATGAAGACATTTCCGAAGAAGAAGCTGTGTTAGCTTTTCTCAAGATGTCGGCAAAAGTAAAAGGGGAAAAGAAAAAGGGAAACAGCAAAATAATTATATTGCTTTGAAGACCATAAGATCTAAATTTTAATGACTAACAGATTTAATAAATAATCTATTCCAATCAAACGATATAACAAGTTGGTATATAAATAAATCTATCAGTCTTTAAAGTGCTATAATATTGTGCTTTTTCCCCTTCCCTTTCCCCCCTTAATTTTTGCAAAAAAGTTTGAAGAAGATCCTTTTGTCATCTCCAGTACAGTCCTCATCTTTTCACAGCCACCACATCAGGCTTATCCAGTGTAACTTTACCTTCCTGGATTTCAGCCCCTGAATCGTAGTGTGATCCAGGGAATGCGAGATGCAACACATCTCAGTGAAAAGCAAGTTAGTCACGGGTGATCTTTTTACGCTTTTAATGGGACTTACAGCCAACCCATTGCCACCAAGAGGACCCTGGCTTGTCCTTTTTTAAAACCTGTAAGGTAAAAGGTAAAGATTCCCCTTGACAATTTTTGTCCAGTGGTGTTCGACTCTAGGGGGCGGTGCTCATCCCCGTTTCCAAGCCATAGAGCCAGCGTTTTGTCCGAAGACAATCTTCCGTGGTCACATGGCCAGTGCGACTTAGACACGGAACGCTGTTACCTTCCCACCGAGGTGGTCCCTATTTATCTACTCGCATTTACATGCTTTCGAACCGCTAGGTTGGCGGGAGCTGGGACAAGCGAGGGGAGCTCACTCCGTCGCGTGGATTCGATCTTACGACTGCTTGGTCTTCTGACCCTGCAGCACAGGCTTCTGCGGTTTAGCCCGCAGTGCCACCATGTCCCTAACCTGCAAAAAATTAAAAATGCTCAAATTATTTTTTAACCTTTCAACCACTTTCTTTTGATGCCCCAGTTCTGAGAGGTTTCCAGGTGCTGCCTTGCATGGCTTCCGACACCCAGGAGGTTGAATTTTTCCAGAGCATAAGACGCAGGGGACCAAGAGGAAGGAAGAGCTACTACCACTAAACAGGGCAGCCACACTTCACGGCCCCACCCTATAACTCAGAAAGGCACCTCCGTGTCTCCAATAGGGTTTCCTCTTGGGTGACTCCAACCCTAGGAGGACCTACTTTGTCCATCTGGGAGTAACTCCAATGGACGCTGAAGGGTTTACTTCTGAATAAATACCCAATAGCTGGCTGGTTAGCTCAGGGAGTTAGGTATCTGGCTGTGGAGCAGAAGGTTGGGAGTTCGATTCCCCACTCTGCCTCCTGGGAGTACAGCCAGCCTGTGTAGCCTTGGACACGCTGCACAGCCCCAGGGTAAACCCCCACCCACTCCCAGAAAAAGGGCATAAATGGTAAACCGCCCAGAGTAGACCTTTGGTCTAGATGGGCGGGATAGAAATCCAATAAATACATACATACATAAATAAAATAAACCATTTCTGAGCATTCTCTTCCTGGAAAAACGGGTCACCCTAAGTAAGAGTTGACTTGAGGGCACACCATTATTATTCAATAAATAAAATAAACAATTTCTGAGCATTCTCTTCCTGAAAAAACGGGTCACCCTAAGTAAGAATTGACTTGAGGGCACACCATTATTATTCAATGGATACAATATTCCACTCTGTGTCCTGACGTATTTTACTCCTGTCTAGTGGGATCCATTCTATACTCCTAGCCAAAGGCCATCCTCTCGTTCGTGTGCCTGCTAGACGTAAGAACTAAACAATTTCTGAGCATTCTCTTCCTGAAAAAACGGGTCACCCTAAGTAAGAATTGACTTGAGGGCACACCATTATTATTCAATGGATACAATATTCCACTCTGTGTCCTGACGTATTTTACTCCTGTCTAGTGGGATCCATTCTATACTCCTAGCCAAAGGCCATCCTCTCGTTCGTGTGCCTGCTAGACGTAAGAACCACTAATTTTTTTTTTGCCAGTCTTCCTCGGCAGCCGTCCAGATGTGTTAGTCCACCACACCAATCATCTCTGGACCCCCGCGGCATGCTCTTTGTGGATTATGGGGGTTCTGGTTGAAGATATTAGGAAGAGCTGGCTTGGCAAAGGATGAGGTTGGGCATGGAATGCCACCAAGAACAGAGTCATGGCAGGCCTTCCCACAGAAACAAATCTCGCAACTTTCAGGACAGGGTCAAAGGACCGACAAAAGAGTGCATGCCTTCTTCTTCTCCAGGATAAACCTAAACTGTGGAACTCACTGCTACGTGATGTGACTGACGCAAGCTGTTCAGTTTCAACAGCTTTAAAGGGGACCAAAACAACTGAATGAATGACTCCAGGCTAATGATGGCAACAAAAACCCAGAGATCTATCAACATGAATTGGACCAAACTCCCGGGAAGGAGGGCCTGGCGTGCTCTGGTCCATGGGGTCACGAAGAGTTGGAGACGACTTAATGACTAAACAACAACCACCCAGAGATCGCCTTCCACATCCACAAATGTAAATCAGTCACTGAAGAATTGAAATGGGAGACTGCAAGCTGATTTCATACCCTGCCTACAGGCTCCTCATGGGGACCTGACCAGCCACTGTGTGAGCCAAAGCTTGGATCTAGAGAGGCTGCGGGTCTGATCCAGGTTCTTAACTGCCCTGAGTGCCAACATCCACAGAGCACTTGCCTAAACTCTGCAGTGGCCCTGGAAGAAAAGCCACTGCCTGCCTTGGTTTTTAGAAGGAACCAGAGAGTCCGTTCGGTTTGGGAATTCAACAGCAGGGTTGGATCCTCAGCGCTCCAGAGTGACACCTCCAGGATTAACAAGGCTATTTTAATGTGAGCTTTTGTGGATTATAAATCCACAACTCCTCAGATGCATGGAGTATTATTCTAGGAATCTGCTACTATGCACTAAGCGTCTGAAGAAGGCGCCATGTAGCATAATAACTTGTGCCGCAACAAAATACATTAGCCATAAAAGTTGTGGTGTTGCTGGAACAAACTAGCAGGGTTACCCATTCATGCTTCCAAAGGACTCATGGAGTGAAGGCATGGAGGGAAGCAGCCCCACAGCCCCATAGCGAGTCCTTGATCAGTGAATGTGCTACTGTTATGCTGCCCAACATGTGATGCATCATCACACAGAGGCCAGAGGGGAGCAGGAGTTTAATTCTCTGAAGGCAGCATTAAAATTGGCCTGGCCTGCAGAACTGGGAAAAGAAAGGGGGTTACAGTAAGAGAACAGCAAGGGCAGGGCATTGTCTCATGCCTTATATATGCTCTGTAATACCAGAACTAATTTTTAGTATCGTAAGACCGGGAAACATTTCCCTCCCATGTAACACTATTCACAGCTTCAAAAACATATGTTTCAAGTCCTGCGTTTGCTTGCAAAGAGCTGGCAAAGCTACACTGGAAAAAAATCCCAGTTAGAGGCCTAAGGATTTCCAAATTATTGTAACAAATTGCAAATTTTTAAAAGCAATTGCTTGCTTTCCTGTTTCTCAAAAGTGACCAGTTTATTTTAGATATTTTAGATATGCCAGAATAAGTGCAATGGCATAAACTGCAGTGGCAAATGGCTAGTAGCTAATACGTTCCTCACCATGGACCAGCCGCATGTGTTGGTGAGCAACAAGAGATGCACGTGGCAACTGTCTGATGAAGTGAACTTGTCCACGAAAGCTCACATAAAAAAAATATAAAAAGCAAGTCTTTAAACATGCCACCATGTTTTTGTCTTTTTTTACTGTTTATTTTTAATTTTCTTTTCACCTATAAAGCAGGAACTGGTTAACTAGAGCAAATTCGTGACTGTTACTTATCGCACTGTACTAACACAAGAATAACTATCCATTAGGATTCTGGCCACATTTTTTTAAAAAATCTGAATTCTCCAGCTCTGTTGTACAGAAGACTTTTATACCAGCAGTCCCCAATGTTTTTGGGACCGAGGACCTGCTGAACCTCTGAAGAAGGCATGACACGGCACACACATGTGCTCTCTCAGGCGCATGCACGTAGCGGTGGGGGAGCGCACGTGCGCACGCCAGCACTGGCATGAGTGCTCCCCCCCTTTGCACATGTGCAGGAGCGACTGCATGCACGCGCAGGTGCTTGGACACATACGTGAAGGGGTGGGGGAGCACTCACGTCAGCATTGGCCTGCATGCGCAAAGCAACTGTGGGGAGGGGAATGGGTGCGGAGGGTCGGGAGGTCTGTCTTCACGGCCCATTCCAGCTCAGGCCACAGACTGGCACCGGGGCTGCGGGCCGGGGTTTGACAACCTCTGTTTTATACAATTCATATGGGTATGCTAGTATCAACCACAAGATGGCAACCTAATCTCGCACAAAAGAAACGGTACTTGAAGAAAGAACACAAGGATATAGTACTTCAGGGAATCCGGCTAGGTGTTAAATATTCTGCAAGCTTTCAGATCAAATGACTTTATCTTGTCAAGAACACATGGTATTGTCCAGAAGACAAAGAGAAAAAGAACAAGACTGCCAGCAGCGTCAAATGTTGTGACTCTGGGTAAATTCTGTTTAAAAATTGTCTGATACGAAATTCCCACACATTTTTAGTTCCAAGCATTTTGTACAGTGGTGCCTCGCTTAACAACGTTAACTCGTTCCAGCAAAATCGATGTAGAGCAAAAACGTCAAAAAGCGAAATTTAAAAAACCCATTGAAACGCATTAAAACCCAGCTAAAAACTCACCGTCCAGCGAAGATCCTCCATACGGCGGCCATTTTCGGTGCCTGTATAGTGAGGAATCCATCCCTAAGCACAGCGGGGAGCCATTTTGATCACCCGGTGGCCATTTTGAAAACCCAACGATCAGCTGTTTTGATTGTCGTAATGTGAAGAATCGGTTCCCGAAGCAGGGAACCAATCTTCGCAAAGCGGAAAAACTCCATTTAAAACATTGCTTTGCGATCGCAATTGCGATTGCAAAAGCATCATCGTGAAGCAGATTCGTCGTAATGTGGGGTAATCGTTAAGCGGGGCACGACTGTACTTTTCAAAAGGATATCACAGAGCTGAGAGGATAGAGAGAATACCAAAACAGCCCATGTCAGGAAAGGATAATGGATCAAATGGACCTTTGGTCAGATCCAGCAGGTCTATGCCTATGACCAAAGAGTTACTCTTTTCCCAGCCATGATCAATATTTCCTCTAAGCTGTGCACTCTTGTCCAAAGCTCCATTGGGGTTGTGCATGTGCAGCTGGTTTGTTTCCCATTTTGAATGAAGCCCTGCCCAGCCCCGCACACACTGAGTGAGGCTCCCACACAGCAGGATAGAAACACAGAGGGAACGTTGGACATGATGGATATATGCTGTTCTACAATGACTTACTACTCTGAGAAGAAGATAGTGAAAATTTCGGGGGAGGGGAAACCTTGAGGAAAAAACAGACTTGATTAGATTTGAAGCAACCACTTTGTTTCTAGTTGGCTCCTTTTGTGTTTTTATAGGATAACCTGTCCAGTTGTACAGTCTAATCTTACGGAAATGTCGCTACTTGAGACTGTATTTCACCTTGAGGTTACAGCTTTGGCCCTAATTGTGTGTAGGATAATAAGCTTCAAGTTCAGATTTAGGCTGAATAGCAGGAAAAACGTCTTAACTGCTAGAGCAGTACGACAATGGAACCAATAGCCTTGGGAGACGAGCGCTCCGACACTGGAGGCATTCAAGAGGAAATTGGACAACCATCGGTCAGATCTGCTTTGACTTGGATCCCTACACTGAGCAGGAGTTGGACTCAACAGCCTTACAGGCCCCTTCCAACTCTTCCAAATACAATTCCAGTGTTTTCTTAAGAATTCCAAAGTTCTGAATATTTTTGGAAAATTTAAATAAACTTCTCACATGCCTTATTAGTTCACCCCGTCCTGCCCTCTTTAGTCCTTGACTTCTCTTTTTCTCTGAATCCTAACATTCCATTTCCAATGAGATGGACAATTCCAGATGTTGCTGGCCATTGCCCACAATGGCTGAGGCTGAGAGGTGTTGACTACCTCCACCTGATTTCATGGGTTTCAAGATTCAAGCTCCTACAGAAACCCTGCTGTGCTATGGGTGATAAGACAGGGTGATAAGACACTGCACTCCATGTGTGATCCAGGACAGTGTCGGGATTACACTGTGGGACAAAGATTTCGGAAATCCAAGTGTGTGTTCCCACTGAGCCATGACACTCCCTGGGTAACTTTGAGTGAGTCACTCTATCTCAGCTTGACCTGATTTTCAAGGTTGTTGCTGTAAGGTGTGGAAACAGCCATATATACTGCCTTATGCTCAGTGGAACAGAGGCAAACTACTAATCAAACAAAAATGGTTTTGAATTATTTTACTATATTACACACGTTCTAGGACTGAATGATAACAGAGCTGAACCCTGACAACACTGCCTCCCCCCCTTGTCCCTCTTCCCAGTGGACCGCTTAGGGTCTGGATCCAACTTACCTGGATCAAAGTGCTCTTCTAACTCGGACACAACAACAGAAGGCAAGAGCAGCAAGCAGACTATGATGGGTCCCATTGTGGTCTCTGGGCTTTCAGGCTATACCCCAAAACTCTGCGTCTTCATGCCTTTAGAAAGGGGAGAAAACAGCAGTTAGCCGCACGTGGTTCCTTTGGGCACAGCTGAGATCAAGGGCTGAGTGACTCAACATGAATGGGAAGCCGTGGTTCAGGCCCTCTTTCTCTCTGTGTGCTACTCTAATGCATTCTTTGGACGGCAAGTCACCAGCATCCTGCCATTGTCCTCGCTCTCTTATCTTGGCCAGAAAGGGAATGGGGTCGACATACTGGCAGAAGTGTGACACCCTGTCATCAACCCATGGACAAGAAGGGCGGCCTGCCAGAGCTGTGGTTCAGCGGACACTGGGCATGCGGGAAATCCCAAGACCAAACGAGAGGCTTGGTCATTTGATCAGTGAATAAAATACAATTCAGTCCAATTAGGTTAAATATTGGCAAAATATACCATCGTCTCAGCGAACAAGGGCAGCATTTGTTAGAACTAGAACAAAGGGAGAGGCTTGTGCTCATCATAGTGCAAACACACACACACACACAAAGCTGCAAATGCTGTACAGCTTGGCTGCCTGAAACTTGCTGAATTTACAAAAGAACAGAACAGCCTATTCTGGATCCAGCACAGGGTTTATCTCGTTCCACATGCTATCCGTCAAGAGTGGCTAACTAAATACCTTGGAGAGGGATGTCTGAGAAATTCACTCTACTAAGTATTTACATATACAGTTGTTTATTTTATATATTTTTATTTTTTTATTAGATTTATACCCCACCCATCTAGACCAAAGTTAAATACATATACAGTACATACATGTATATGTAGTATAGTTAAATATACAGTAGTTTATTTTATTTTTAATTTTTATTTTTTTAAAATTAGATTTATACCCCGACCAAAGTTAAATACATATACATACATGTATATGTAGTATAGTTAAATACACACACACACATATAAAGGCATCCTAAAACATGTCCCCATCTAAAAAATTAAACACTATAAACTATTTGCTTAACACCTACAGCCATCACCTGGTTTTAATTACTGTACTTTTTACTGCTGTTGTTGAATGATATGTTTTATATTGTTTACTGTTGTACACTGATCACATCCCCTACATCCTTTTCCATATACAAAGCTGTCATCAAGACTTTAAAACATGCCTCTGACATGGCCTTTATTTGTAAACAAAGTTATCCTTAATAGCAGAAAGGAAAGGGGACCTGACAGCAGGAGGAGTAAGGAAATCTCACTTTCATTTGCTGAAAGATGCAATTAACTATGCGACTAAAAAGCTAAACTGGCCTTGGTGCAGACATTCCCAGATTTTCCAGTGGTAATAGCCAGTCACGGTCAATAGCAAGCAGCCAACGGATGGTTTTTGACTACACAGGTAGGGATCCCAACTGTATTGATTTATATCACAAGCACTTAAAGAGTTATGCTTCACTTTACTCTCTAGGCTGCTAATTAAGCTGTTTCAAGTTACTGTATATGCTTCAGGTGGGACCTACAATAAAATGTTGCAGCATGAGGTCTTCCTGTTTGTTCCAACCAATCAACCATACTTTTTCACAGTACACTCCACTCAGTTCCCCCTGCCCTGTTCTCGCTCCCTTCTCTCCTGAATATCAACCAGCATTCAGTCTTCCCTGGACTGTTTTTAACATTTCTTCCAAAAAAATGTTGTCTGTACTTCTGCCAACCTTGTGATTTGTCCAGGCCTACAGATAAAACATCCCACCTAGTGTGTGGATTGGGCTGTGTCTAGCCTAAGGACCGAAATGTGGGAAATGAGGTAACTATCAAAATGATCAGTTTCCAAACTTCTTCCAGATGTTCCTGGACTACAACTTCCAGGCACCCTAGCCACCACAGCTAATGGTGACGGTATGTGGGAGTTGTGGTCCATGAACATCAGGGGCTTAAGGACAAGAACCCACTGGTTTAAATGTACGTGTGAGTGCCTGTGTACACAAGCTTTATGGGAATTGTTACCTTGGAAAAAAGTGATGGCTGGAATCCAATGGAAAAATAATTAGAACTGGTGTTTGCTAATGTTTCTCAAGTATCATATCTAGAAGGCAACAGCAAATGCTACACCAGCATCACAACATTTGGGAATTTACAAAGGGAGGCACAACAGAATTCTAGCTACATACCTCTCTTGAGTAGTAGCAGTCATCACCATCCTTTTACAGTACAATATTCTAGAACTGTGAGTACCATTATGAACAGATGTGTTTTTTATTTCTGATGCAAAGACCAGACCAGTGAAGGCAGGGATCCAGACTGCAACTGCAGTAGTTATAAAAGATAACTCCCATGTCCCTGTGCAGTTTTAAATTCAGTTTTGACCCCCTCCTCGCCTACTGTTTACTTCCAATGATCCTTCCGTGAAAAAACACACACACTTTACATCTAGTTTGGATGTTATAACATCCAGTGGCGACAGGGATGGGAAACGTTTATTTTATTTTATTTTATTTATTTATTTAT